CCCTAATCTGATGGTACGTGCGCTGTGGCACGCCCCACTACGATACAGTACAGTACAGTAGAGTAAGGCTTGCCCGTAACGCTGATCGTCGGTCGACGCGCGCTGAAAATGAGAAATTTCTTTTTAATTTAAGGCATGAAAAAGGGCAGCTGATAAAAACCCATTATAAACTTAAATTTTAATTAAAAAACCTCCTTTGCGCGGAAGCTATAAAATTGCTTTGCGGCCACACTTCAATAGACTGTCCACTTTATTATGCTTCCGATCGTTTTCGAATATACATATGTAGGTATGTATGTATGCATGTAGGTTGGCACAAATTCCTGCAAAAACTGTCTACACCTTGAACGCATTCCATCAGCTTGCTAGAAAAAAAAAATAAACTCCTTAATATCAACATCAACATCATCAACGTCAACGCTAACACATCACCCTTACGCTCCCTATACTCTTATTGTAAAAATGCTGCCTCTCTGTTGTTGTTGTCAACAGCATCATCACATAAATTGGAATTTTAGCCTGTGATGGCTCCCGCGCGTTCGCTTGATCGATCACGTTCGATTAACCGGGTGGAGTAAGCTGTGAACGCCCATAATGTTGTGTGCGCGCTTGAGCGCTGCTAGCGAAGTCAAAATCACTGCGCTGCGGTTAGTTTATAAATATTAAAAGATCACTTTAATGAGTTTGAATAAAATTTGAAGATACATTGGCGACGTGATAGTGGCCAGTTGCCAGTATACTAGTATGAAGACGCGCGCGCGACCTGTCGATATGTGTTAGAGATAGCGGCGCACAGTAGTAAATCGTGGTGGCAGTGAAAACCGATTGATTGTTGAAAGCAGCCGCAGCGGACGTGCGCGGCAACACCCCTTCCAGAAAGAGAAGCGATAAGCTGAAGAAGAAGAAATGGCTTTACAGGAAAGGCGCTTAATATAAGCAACTAATAAGCGTATTTCCGATTTAAACGCACTCCTATGGCTTCTTAGGCTGCGCCGCCAATAGCGGCAAGTTATTTTTTTTATATGTATTTATTTTGCCTTTTCTTAACACTAATAATCGCACCTTACTGATAATAAACTTGGAGTCAGCGCTTAATAAAAAGCTAGCATACTCATATGCGCGCGCGCCCTGCTATTGGCACGTGAATGTGGTGCTGCGCGCGCGCGTAATAAAATGTTTGTGGCGGCGAGGTTACAGAATGCTAGCATTTTTGATTTATTGCGCGCGCATTTATGTGCCTATTTACATACATACATACATACATACGCATATGTATGCTTTGTTACGACGATCACTGCGCGATGGAATGGTTTGCGTCTCTACTAGGTAGGACGCACTTTTGTACATATGTATATGTGCCTCATGCGCCCCCGCTACATAGCTGGCCTTGCAGGCGTATTTGCGATTGTGGCTCTTACCTTGGTCGCCCCATTCATGCATTCCTTCTTTTAACAATTCATTCATACATACAAATTGTAAAGTTTGGTGCTGTTGTATCTTTTTTTGACTTTCCATACGTCCATACGTTTATCCAGCTGCTGGCTTTTATGACTTTGCTTCATACGTGGTATGCGCGTGCAAATGAAAAATGAAGTGTAAAAGTACTTGCATCGTAAAAATTAATAATAGTAGTAAAAAAATAAGCGGCATTCTGCTACTATTGGAGGCCAAGATGAACTCTACTAGCGGCTTTACATACATATATCTGTGTGCAAGTATTTTTATTTTTCTTCGCGCAATATGGTATCATACAGCTCACTGTTAAAAGCTTCCAGACATACGCACATACCTATTTTACACTATGTCTACTTTGGTCTTGCGAGCATTTATTATAATTATTTCGCTTTAGTTTTTAGCTGCCTCACTCGTCTCAGTTTATGTTGTTCTACATAAATCTTTAAGAACTCATTTACTTGCTTACTTCCTCGCCGAACAGATCACTGACAATACACACATAGCAAAGCAACTGCTCCTTTCTTAAAAAAATTCGTTTACTCCCTGGCTGTTTGGCAATAAAAATCTGCGCATTAAGTTTATGAGCAGAACCAATTTCTGAATGCAATATCTAGAACTTTACACCCTCAAGTAGTCATCTCCATTGTCTTTTTCTGTTGTACATATGTACATACATAGATATGTACACATACATATCTTCTTATGCTATTACAAGTAGAAGTTCATGTTTATAACTCCATTCCTGTAGTGTTTTAAAAATAGTATCTAGAAACAGTAGCCAAAATATTCGTTTGTGCTGTGTGTTTAGTAGACAACATACATACATATGTAGCTCCTTTGTGCAATTTGTGCGCTTTAAAGCAAAAAATCATAAAAAGTTATAAAATCCCATTACTACTAGTAGCGTTTAGATTTTTATTAGTACTACTAACTCGTGCTTTCATGCAAATTATTTAACTTAGCTGCAGTCATTTATGTAGAGAGTGATTTTATGTGGGCTTTGTGGAGCTCATCAAATAGCTGGCGCTTAGAGCTGTCAATCTACATATATAGATATATATGCATGTACATAAACATACTTTTTTATGGATAGACGATATGGCAATAACTTCTATTATTTGATAGTTGATTTAAAGACTCAGAGGCGCAAGCTGCTCTTGGATAATGCAGGATAGTACAGAAAAGATGAGAAACTAAGTAGATCCTCCTTCTTATGGTTTTTGCAGCTTTTGCAGCACCAAGCTGAGCTTCCGGCATGTTTTAAGTGTGCTGGATATATCTATCCCACATAGGCCAAATTTTTCCTATATAGGTCAACATTTATGTCAATTAAAGCATAGAAAAATTCTTCCAAGCCAGATTTCTTCTCAAACGCCTGTTTCGGGGGCCTAAATGAGTTTAAAACAGTTCTCTTGAGCCATCTCGGTGACAACCAAGATTAGTTTTTTGTTACTTGAAAAAGTACTTTTCCGTTGCTGTAAATTTTCTTTAAGCAATTAATACACGAGCATTTTATCTTTGAGAAATTTTGATAGAAGATAACTTTTCCGATTCCTATGCCGGAAATGGGCACCGCCTTGCCCATTTCTTTCTATATGTTTTGTATAGACACGAACAGAGTAAAAGCTCTCTCTTCCCGTCGCTGTTTAATATGCACTATTCGTTTTGCTGGATTCTAAAGGCCTGTTTTCACTATGCCAAATTCAATGGCGTTTGTCGTCAAATAATTGAAAACACATTGACAAATGAGAATAAAAAGCGGTATATCTATTGATTTCGATTAGGATAGATCTTTAGTCATGTACATGCGCTTCTATGTCGGCCATGTGCCTGTTTTTGGCCCATAATTTAATCGGTAAAGGTAAGGGTAAAAGAGATAAAGTTGTGTCAAAATATGTCCTAGTGAAAACCAGCCTTAAGCTTTAATAATAAAACAGCTGTCAACTTTAATTGCAGCTAAACTGTCTGTGAAAATTAAAGCAACTTTTCGATTCACGTTTATTTACGGTCTCCTTAATGTCTGAACCCGCTGTCTGGAAAACTATAGACACTTCATTTTTCAGCTAATAAGATTTGCATGGGAGTAGTTGAAGGAACCCCACAAATGTTTTTAATTAATTTTTAATATGTAACATTTATTAAATGACACAGGAGAATCGATTTTCTTCAAACTTCTACTTTTTCTGCACTTTGCACCAAACAAATTAATACAAACAAAGAAATATTCAAAAATTGGACTCAACTGATCTCTTGCTAGTTTTGTAAGCTTTCATTAAAAAAGAAAAATTAATTGAATTGATTGAAAAATGAAGGCTCCAGTGAATTATCAACAGTAAATTCCAATTTTGAACCACTATGCATCGGTCCCCGCAGACCTGAACAAAGTTAAATCTTTTAAAAATGCAAGCGTGCCCACGGTGGTCTTAGCTTCCGCTGAGATGTGTCTCTTAAACGAATAGCAGCAAAAATTATCAGTAACGGTATCACCAAAACCTGTGACAGGATATGGAATACGGCGTTTACTGTGCCATTTAGTTTTTTCGGATTGTGGCGGTAATACAGATCATACTAAATCAATAAAATTTTGTTAAAATATGTCCTCCTTTCAGGGCAATGCAAGAAACATTGAGTTAATAGAGAAGTTCAAACCTCACTCTATTTTATGATTATAGCTGCAGAAGTCCCTTTCTTTAAGTTCAGCTTCCGATCCAGCTTTATTCGTGATACTTAGACGAGGCTCGTTTAGCTGCTATGATTGGGGTGGTGTTTTATAAATTTTTCTAAAGAATAAAATCGATTTGCTCTAAGACGATAGTGGGCATCAGCTTGCCCGCGGGCAAAACTCTAAATGTATATAAAACTTGAAAGAAAATGTTGTAGACAGACATGACTGGGCTTGTTAAGAGCGAAAAAGTTATGCGACGGCAATGTGATACTCATTACACAAATTTCAGAAAAGCAGCCGTTAGCAGAAACTATTAGAAATGTAAAGCTTTAACAGCCAAGGGCGCGCTCTTTGCACTGAGACCCATGAACCCAATAAACCACATGATGGCATGCCTACAAAAGTTTGGAAGTTTAACGGCTTTAACGCATAAAAAATCGCACATACACGTAATTAAGATAAAAAACCAATACATGACTCGTTACTAGTATATATACATATACATATAGCCTATATCTACATGAATATGCTCCTCGTCGTGATAGCGCGTTGTACCCAAAAAACCGCACATCATAAATTTTACTTTCAAAATGCACCCAACCGCTTCACTCCCCCTAGCACTACAATCCTGCACAC